TCGTCGTAGTTGTTGCAGTAATTGGCTCCGCAAGTGGTTCTTTCTCAACAGGAACTTCCTTCGTTGGCTCCTCTTCATCATCAGAGAACGTCATTGGCTCATCGAGAACATCCATCCAAGTGCTACTCGTTTCATCCACAGGTAGGCCAGCATATGCTGGTTTTTTGGGCTCTTCAGGTTTCGTTTCAGCTTCCACGGTTCTTGGTTCTTCCGGGAGAGTAGATTCGCTAACAGTTTCAGTTACAATAGTTTTTGATGTGACTGCCACTGTTGTCTTTGAGTCTTCAGAAACCGAAGATTCAACAACATTTTCGGGCTCCATTACTGTCGTTGTTATAATTGACGTTGCAATGGGCTCAGCAACTGGAGCCGCTTTAACTGTAACTTGACTGCTTGATTTTGTTTCCGTCTCTTTCGAGGACTTAGTGTCTCCTGCGACCGTAGCTTCAGATTTCATGTCTTGTATAGTATTGATGATCTTATTTATATTTGCTTCATCACCATTTTCTGGGAAAAGAGGTATTTCCACCTCATCCTCGACTAATTCTCTCCAAGGCTTGTGCTCAATAACAATATCTTCTGAGCCATCGTCAATCATGTCAGCCCATGATTTATGGGTTGTTGCATGGTGATCTATGTCGAAGTCCATTTCAGATATCAGCTGAGGCTGCAATGCCACATTTTCTGGCTTTTTCGCTTTTTCTGTTTCTATGAAGTCAATAGTTTGCTGACTTGTTACTGACGCCCAAGAGCTAGTACGCGTATCTTGAGTAGGAATTCTTTCCCTTGGTTTTTTCTTCTCATTACGATCTATTCTCCCATGTTTTACAAACTCAGTGGTTTTTTGTTTTACATCCATCTTTTCCTTAGGTGGCAAGTCGGTCATTTTATCTATTTGGCTGGCAATCTTAGCCCAAGTAGTTACTCCGTTATCAGGGATTGATGGTAATGAGGTCTCAATAACATCACTATCAGATGTAGATGATACATTGGGTTCTAGCTTTCTAGACTTTGAATCGATTGTTTTTTTGCCTTCTGCGTCAGTTTTCACTCCCTTCTTAGAAATTCTTTCCTTCCGTGCTCTAGGCTCAGGCTTGTACTCCTCCTTTGGTACGGCAGTTGGTTTTTTGCGGGATGCTATATCGTCTACAAATTCTCCTGGTTTCTTAAGCAAAGCAGCCCAAGAAAATGCACCAGAAGTACTTACTATAGGCTTTTCATCAGTTATTTGTTTTTCTGAATCAGTTTCAGTCGGAATTACTTCTTTGACTATTGGCTCGGAAATGATTTTCTCTTTCTTCGGAGCTTGTTCCTTTTTAGATATAATTCGTTCCTTCTTTTGTGGGCGAACCTTTCGTGGTTTATCTCGTTCCTGTTGATCTGGTTCTACTTTTTCTGTTGAAGGTGTTATCGCACTCTTAATATGCGTCACAGTTGTATCGACCCATTCCCCGGGTCTCTTTACAAGCGAAGCCCACGAAAAGCCGCTCGATTCGGGTTCTATCGTTTGTTTGGGCTCCTCAACTTCTATAGGTTTTGATACATCCTCTGCTTCTGAAATTTTCTTAGTATGTGTTGTGAGTACTGGTGCTTCAGATTCTTGCTTTTCATCCTCAGAAGTAGTTGAAACTTGTTCTTGAACCGGTTTCCTGGACTTCTTTGATTTTTTTGTTTTAGTAGTCTTTCGTTCAGATTTTTCTTCCTTTTTGAGTTTTTTGTCGTCTACTATAGTCTCTGAATTTAAGACTTTATTTTTGACGACTGTAGTATCTGTCCATTCACCAGGCCTCTGCACCAAAGCAGACCAAGTCAGTTCAGATGGTTTCGCAGCTTCGCGCTCATCAGATGAAGGTTCTTTAGAGCTGGTGGTGACAGGCTTTGATGAATCTGTACTTAAGTTTTCTTGGATGTGTTCTACAGGCTTTTGTTTTTCTTGTTTGGCTTTCTTCTTTTGCTCCTTTGGCCTATCTATCCTCGGCAAAGGTTCAACTATATCCAATTTCTGTTCCTGAACTGTTACAGGCTTTTCAGAACTCTGTAATTTGGAACTGTCCCCTGCATTAAACAAAACGTCAGCGTAGGATTTTCCGTCTCTATTGTTTTCCCAAACACTCGGTTCTGTTCTTATATCTGAATCCAAAACAAATGTGGAAGATACTGGAGTATCAATGGGAACTTCCTGTGGTGGATCCTCTGCAGGCTTCTTTGCCTTCTTTGCCGGCTTTACCTTCTTTGGTTTCTTTGAAAGTGGCATTTGTTGATCTACCCTACTTCGTGGAATGAACTCATTATAAACTCGCTCATTTGCAAGGAATGTATGCGTCTGATCGGCATATGTGTGTCTTAGATATGAAGGCGTAAATTCTGGAGCATCGGCGGACAAAGTTGATATGAAAACTGCACTTCCCGAGTTTGGTGACGATTCCTCCAGCACACTAGACCAAGTATCAATAGGACCCTCAAGTGTCAGGTTAGAATAGGCAGGACTATTTTCAGAATCACTATCGTGTTCTTGAACAAGAGATTCAGCTGAAGGCTTTGTGGTGTTTATGTCTTTTGAAACAGGAGATTTCAGAACCTTCTCGGGCTCAGAGACAGTCGTTGTAATTGAAGTTGAAATGGACTCAGTAACGGGTAAATTCTCAACTAAACGCTTAATTGGTGGTTTCTCTTTCTTTTCCTTCTTCTTAGTGGGGTTTTCAGGTTTCTTTTCAACTTCAACCGTCTTCGGTTCTTCTGGGAGAGAAGATTCGCTAACAGTTTCAGTTACAGTAGTTGTTGATGTAACTGTCACTGTTGTCTTTGTATTTCCAGAAGCCGCAGACTCAATAATCTCGGGCTTAACGACTGTCGTCGTAGTCGCTGTAGTAATTGGCTCCGCAACTGGTGCTTCAACAGGAACTTCCCTCTCTGGCTCCTCTTCATCATCAGAGAACGTCATTGGCTCATCGAGAACATCCATCCAAATGCTACTCGTTTCATCTACAGGTAGGCCAGCATATGCTGTTTTCTTGAGCTCTTCGGGTTTCTTCTCAATTGCCACTGTCTCTAGTTCTTCTGGAAGAGTAGATTCGCTAACAATTTCAGTTACAGTGGTTGATGATGTGACTGTCACTCTGTTTGAATCTTTAGAAGCTGAAGATTCAATTATCTTCTCGGGCTCAATGACTGTCGTCGTAGTTGTTGTAGTAATTGTTTCAGCAACTGGTGCTTTCTCAACAGAAACTTCCTTCTCTGACTCCTCTTCATCAGCAGAGAATGTCATTGGCTCATCGAGAACATCCATCCAAGCGCTACTCGTTTCATCTACAGGTAGGCCAGCATATGCTGGTTTTTTGGGCTCTTCAGGTTTCGTTTCAGCTTCCACGGTTCTTGGTTCTTCCGGGAGAGTAGATTCGCTAACAGTTTCAGTTACAGTAGTTGTTGACGTGACTGTCACTGTTGTGTTTGAGTCTTTAGAAGCCGAAGACTCAACAATCTTCTCGGGCTCAATGACTGTCGTCATAGTTGTTGTAGTAATTGGCTCTGCAAGTGGTTCTTTCTCAACAGGAACTTCCTTTGTTGGCTC